TCAGCCTGTAATCCCGCACTTTGGGAGGCTGAGGCGAGCGGATTGCCTGAGCCCGCGGGTTCGAGACCCACCTGGGTAATTTGGGGAGACCTCATCTCTACAATAAATAAAAAAAAATTAGCCAGGCGTGATAGCGCGCCCCTGTAGTTCCAGCTACTTGGAAGGCTGAGGCGAAAGGATCGCCGGAGCCCAGCAGGTCGAGGCTGCAGTGGCCAGGAGCGTGCCACTGCACTCCAGTCTGGGCTACAGAGTGAGACTCCAACTCAAAAAAAAACAAACTAATGTTTTCCTTTGAGAAGCCACCTCTTCCACATTTCTGATGTGATCAGTCTGGGTCCTCCTCCTGTGCTCCCAGAACCCTTCCACAGGCCCCTGGTGATATTGTCAGGCTCTGTGTTCATCATGGGCACACTTTATTTTTTTAATTATAAAGATGTGGGGTACAATTCAGGGTTAGGTATACAAATGTTGATTATGCAGGTATCCTTGTTGATGAGGTATGCCTCTCCCTCCCCTAGCAGTTTCCCTCAACTGCCAATCCCATCCCACCTTCCCCTGACAGTTTCCCATTACTGCCAATCGCTTTCCTTACGGGCACACTTTAAAGTGCATCCCAGCCCCTGCAGTTGGAACCAGGGATATGATGATAAAATGACATGGTTTTTGAAATGCTGAAGTATATATTGTTTTTCCAAATAAGACTAGTATTTAATTTTTCCAAAGAATACCATCTGTGAAAGTGTCATGTTTTGGAGAGAGATGCCCTGGGACTTTTTAGATAAAGTAGTGTGCAGTGGTCTTTCCTGGACAGCCATGCTTATGGTTTCTGTGGCTTCTTTGCTGCGGTCCACTTAATCCCTGGTGAGCAAGTACAAATTATGGGTAGCATGAGACGAACCCTCTTCCTCTGAGGTAAAGACTCATGCATTTGTTTCCACATGACAGAATCAGAATGGGAAGTTTCCGAGGTATTGCCTACCGGGTCATCTAGCTATCACATGTGTTTTCATGTCTGTGCTGTTTAGAGGTAAGAATGTTACAAAACATAGGATATGGCTGCAGCCTCGTGAATGTGCAAGCAGGTGGGAGTGCTGCCCAGGTATAAAGGTACACAAGTCATTGTGACCCCAGATGTAGCCCCAGGTTTCAGAAGGAGAGAGATTCCAGGCTCCTGGGATCTAATGAAAGACCAGGGCTTTACCTGGGGAAAAGCTTCAACTACTGCAACAGCGTGGTGCTTTATCTGTTTTAATGCTTTATTTAGCCAGCTAATAAATGCCAAGAAAAATCATGTGATTGCAGGTGCACCCAGGATTTGACTTTCCATTTGGGGCACTGCTGTTTCCAAGTGTAACTCCAACTCCAACTAAATGAATGAATGAATGAATGAATGAATGAAGAAGAAATAAACTCAAAATAACTTGTGGGGTTTAGGTTCCAGGCATCAGTCGTTTTTAAAAGTTCCTCAGTTCTATTACGCAGCCAGGGTGAGTCAGTGTTGACACACAAGAATGTGTCGATTGGTTAGAAGTGGGGAGAAAATGAAGTAGAGCCAGGAGGGCAAGACCAGAGCACTGCAGTAACTCAGGCAGGTGTCCTGTGCGTGCACTGAGAACCGCAGAGAAGGCTGGCAAGGTCTGACCTTCCCATGAGAGGTGACTAGTTTTGTTCCTTATGACCAAAGGAGCCTAATCGATACCCTCCAGTGTCTCACCTGATCGAGTGAGAGCACCCATCCAAGGAGAAGGGGGTGCTTTACCGATTTTGGCAGTACTTGGACACCAAGGTGCACACCCATCTAGGCCCTTTGTGGGGAGGCACAGGAGTGGACAGCCACTGCCCCAGTCCTGGAAATCCTAGGTATTTCCTAGGTAGCCAGCACCAGCCACAGACCAGGGGGTGAAGGAGGTAAAAGGGGTTCTAACAGTGGCCCGGGTTTAACCAGAGACTCTACAGGGATCCTTCAACTAGCCAACATACATTCCATGAAGACGTCAAGGGCCTGCTCCATGCTTCTCAAACCTTCTTTCCCATGAGCTGATGACTCCTGACTGCTCACGCCTTCTCTGTACCTGTTTCCAGAGAGTTCATCTCAGTGTGTGTGAGGCCTTCTTCAGCTCCTTCTACTTACCAGATGGGCCAAAGGGAAGCTTGAAGAGCAAGGGTTAGTCTCGCCCTTATTACCCTAAGCAGAAAGGCCAAAACTCCAGCCTTCCAGCCCTGAGGCGTTTTCTTGGAGTGTTTCCTCCCCAGTGGCACAGTGTTTCCTCTGTGCACACTGTACTCGGTGGGATTAAAGAAATGTGAGGCTCTCCTCTACTGGTCTGCCTTCTGGCCATTCGACAAAATGAAAGACTGGGAGATCTTTGGCAAGAGTGGCAGAGTGTGTGCAGCCAAGCTAAATTTGGTCAAAAACTCGTGGGATCCGGTATTATTTCAGAAGACTTGCTCTGGGGTGGCAGGAGGTGACAGAAATGGATGTGGTGGCCTTGCTCTCCCTAAGCAACTCTGGGGATTTTGGCCTCCTGTCACCAAGTCAGGTTAAGGACATGGCAGTCTCCTGAACACTCCCAGCCTGCAAAGCAGCATCAGTTCCTATTTTTGGGGGGGGGTTGGGGGGAAAGAGTGGGAGATGGAAAGTTATTTTCTTGATTTCTAAAACTGACATAAAAAATATATCCTTCAATGAGAAGCATCTATCAAAGTAATAAAATATACACATACACATACGTATACACATATACATACGTATATGTGTATGTGTATGTGTATCCTTCAATAGGTTGTGGCTGAGATAAACAAGATGCAGAAGTGTGGCCCCAAGGAAATGGGGAGCCTCCCTTCGAAGCCAGGCAGTGGTCAGCCCCACGCTTCCTGAGTCCTTTAGAGCATTTCCAGTGCGCCAACTACCCCAGGTCCTATCACCGCCCACCCCTCTACTCCTGCAGGCCAACCTGCACCCAGCAGCTCCACTGTTCCTGCTGCCCACCTGCCAATGGCTTCTGCTGTGCGCAGGCCGACCATGCCCCACCTGGCCACTCTCCCCCGAATGCCCTCCACTCCACCCGGCCTGCCTCATCCCTCCCAAATGAGCAAATCCATGCCTTTACAACTCTTGGCGGATTCTAGCACTCCCTTTTCTTTTTTTTCTTATTTTTTTTTTGAGCTGGAGTCTCACTCTGTCGCCCAGACTGGAGTGCAGTGGCCGCTTCCGGCCACCGCAGCCTCAACCTGCTGGGCTCCGGCGATCCTTCCACCTCAGCCTTCCGAGTAGCTGGAATTACAGGCGCGCACTATCACGCCTGGCTAATTTTTTGATTTATGTAGAGATGAGGTCTCTCTGCCCATGCGGGTCTCGAACCCACGGGCTCAGGCAATCCACTCACCTCAGCCTCCCAAAGGTGCGGGATTACAGGCTGAGCCGAGCCCGGCAGCACCCCCTTTTCTAAACTTCTTTCACCTTCACTCAGGATGGGACACCTGCTACCTCCTAGTCATGCTGTGTCGAGCATACACAGCTAGAGCAGAGGTTCTCAAAGTGGGGTTCCCAAACAGCAGCAGCAGCAGTGGCGGCGTCTCCGGGGAACGTTGAGAAGGAAAATTCTAGGCCGCTTAGACCCTGCCTGCAGAGAAGCCCTGCCAGGTGCGGGTTAGAATTCTGCAAGGCATTTGTTTGTAAGGGTCAGGGACCATCGCCCCACTCTCTTACCAAGAGTCCAGGGTGGGGGCGGGGTCTCCTCATTGCCTCTGTGAAGCGCTGGGGGCTTCCTAGATTGGGGTGGGGTTGGCGAGGATGCCTCTGGTGAATGGGGACTCCCAGTCCTGAGGCGCCTGCAGTCCAGGCCTTTCTCGACATCCCCTCCTGGCTCACCCAGAAACTCCCTGAGCACTCTTCTCCCCGCGTTCCTCTCAGCCAGAGTGGGTTGGTGCCACATCCAGAGAGCCCAAGATGCCTTCCAGAGAGAGCCATGTGGCCAGGTGGCCGGTCGCAGTCTGCAAGTGCGGTAGCCCTTGGTAAAAGGGCAGCAGAATGGAGTTGGTGGGAGCATATGCCCCACATCGGGTCGTAGCTGTCCCTCTCCTTAGCCCCAGAGGGGATGGCGTTGGAAGGTAGACAGATTTCCTAAAACCTGCCTTGCCTCACTCGAGAGCAACCTGGTTACGTGATTTTGCAGGGCATTCAACTACCATTCTGTATCCAACCTCATTAAAACGAAACTGCTGTGTGTCTAACAACAACAACAGAAAAAGAAGGCAAATTCTCATGTGTCCCCGACCCAGCCCCACTGAATTCAAAACCCAGCAACCTGTTTTAACAATGCCCCTGAGCTGAGAAACTGCTGTGGAGAAAGCACAGGCTCTGCTGGGCCTGGGTCCTGCTCCATGGCCATCTGTGGACTGAGCTACTTGTCTCACTATGCCTTGGCTCTGGATCTAAAGACAGCCACTGCTGCCCTCCTGCAGCTGGGTTTCGTGCACAGGGCCTGCTCGGTGGTCCTGCTCCCCTCCCAGTCTTGGGAGTGCAAGTCTGCACCCAGCCCTTCTGTACCACATGCCCAGCAAGTGCTCCATGGACAAAGTCCAGTCAACATCTGGGGCATGTGGCCAACCCTACTGATTTGGGACCCCAAGAGGGAAGATAAGTGGCAAAAATTCTAAAGGCCATCCCCTGGACTTTAGGACCCTCTGTGTTCCCCAGCGTGGCTACGGATAGACATGAATCATTTCTATGTTAACAAAAGGCATATGGGAAAGAAGGCTGTAAACGCCCTCGAAGCCAAAGGGTGGCAGGGTCATGGGTGGTGCAGGCCCGTCCACCAGTGGCCACAGGTTCCCAGCACCACTGGCCACACCACATGTTAGGTGTGGACCTAGAAATGATCCTAGTGTGCCAGGCCCAGGACTCCTCTACTCAAGGCCATGACCTGATTTGTGCCCAGGTGGCCGGAGCTGTGGCACAAATCAGAGATGCAGCACGAAGCAGCATGGCACAGGCAGAGTGCACAATTAAATAGCATGTTTAATCATCTCACAACAGACAGTAGTGCAGTAGTAGAAATTTTAGGTGTCATTTTAAGAAGTCACTGCCCCAAAGCTCCCATTCCTCAACGCTCAGAGACCACGGCTGAGGAACAGGGCCAGGGGGATTCAGGAAGTCTCTGTCCCAAGGAGCTGAGAGTCAGTTTCTAAGTCAAGGTTGCCTGGTAAGCAGCCAAGAGCCCCATGAGGAGCTCACACACACACGCTCGCTCGAACACGCACACATGCGAGGGACACAGGAGACTCAGAACGAGGGACAGAAAGGGGACCACGGTGGGCAGTCGCACACATGCGCTCTCGTGACACAACATTCCAGTCCGACTGGGGACAGGGAGGGGGCCTGAAGCAGCGAGTGCTGGCAGAGGAGGAGGGAGGCAGTCTGCGCCCATCTGGCTGTTCTGACCCAACAGCTCCAGCAGCCAGAGGCCCCTCGCCATCCCTGAAACAGCTGATCCTCCCCACCTCGTGGGCCAGGCAGGAGAAAGGAACCAGCTATCACCTCTGTCCTACTAGCCTGGCAACAGTGATGAGAGAAGGGATGGCCCTTCCTCCTGGCCTTGTGAGAGGGAGTACTCTACCCCGGGGAGGAGAGCAAAGAACGTGCCCACAGCTAGGCTCTCCGAGCCAGGAGGCGGGTGGTACCCAGGTGCCAATGGGGTGCAGTAGGCCTCTGCCTGCAGCACTCAGCACAGCAACACTCCCGACAGGGGAGCTGCAGAGGAGGTCAGGAGCCGGCTGTGTCTGCCCTTGGGTGGGAGAGGGGTTTGCAAAAAGGAGGCCCTGAGGTGAGGATCTGTGGGGGCCCGCCAGACAGGTTTCAAGAAGAAACTCTTCATTCACAGCTTCGTTCACAGGTTCCTGGAGAAGGTCTGTGGATCCATGTCCCAGCAGCTGTGGGGGAGGTGTCAGGGTGGAGTGACCGGTGGATGCTGGGAGAGCAGCTGCCCGCAGACCTGGGAGGTAGGAGGACCGGCTTGGCAGTGCACTGGGCCTGCCCTGAGGAGACGAACCAGGTGGCTACAGGATCTCCTCCCGTGGGGTCCTGGCCTTCAGTGGGGTCTGCCCATTGGGCACGGAGCCATTCTGACCATGCAGGAGTCTGCCCTTCTCTCGGTCCGGCCAGGTGAAGATGGCATCATCGCTGTCCAGCTCCGACTCAGAGTGCATCAGGCTGCTGCTCAGTGTTGGGCCTTTCTGTTTGACCCCTGCAAGGAAAGCAAGGAACCCCAGTGTCAGGAAACAAACCTTTCTCGGCCTGAGCCACACCCTGCACCCTCACCGCAGTCTGAATTGCTAAGGGACAGGGAAAACCACGGCCTCTCCCAGCAGACAGGAAGGAGGCTTCCCTGGTCCCTCTCCCAGCCCTGGCTGCCGGGAACAGTCCCCTAAGAAGCGTCACTGAAGAGAACAGATTGAACACACCTGGGTCCTCCTGTGGCTTCTTGTTCTTTGTGAGTTTTGGTCAGTGCCACCCGCTGACATTCTCTTTTCTTTCTCTTTTAAATCAGGGAGGTGTTATTGTCTCCCTTCATGGGTGAAGCGAGACAGGAGGCAGGAACACACAAAGAACTCAAGCTCTGGAGAATGAGCTCTAAACCATATCCTAGCTCTGCATGAGCCGAGCTCCTGACACGGTGTGAGGATGCCACGGCAGGCCACGTGGATTTTGGCTCTATGGGCTCTCGGTGTGCTCTGGCCTTGCTGGGTGCTGGAGTGGGAGGGCCGGCGTGTGCTGGGAGAGCCTGACTGAAATGGGGACTTCCCGAGATTGTCTCAAGCGGCCAGCTCTTCAGACCACACAAAGTAAGGCCCACAGGAAGCACATGAGGTCGGAAAAGATGCCTGGTAATCTGCAAGCCGTGGCAGTCACCTTCACTACTTATCCCGCGGCTGCAGCAAGGCGGCAGCAGTAAAATGTGGTCTGGGAAAGCTTTAGGGCAGATCCCCTGCAAAATACTCCAGATAAAGCAAAAAGGCAGGCTGGAGAGCAGGACCAGAAGTGGGAACTGCCGACAGGGAGAACCCAGTTTGGCAAGGCTTTGGGTTCTGGGACTGCCCACCCCCAGAAGTGAAGCTCCTTCTTTCCTTGAAAAGATGGCTGGTCAGGTGAGGTGTGCTTGAACAGGCAGCACCATAATCTCATCATCTGACCATCACGCTAACCTTCACCATCAAATAGTCACTGTCCCTTTCCCTGGTCCCATCCAGAGTCCCCCAAAACACTGGAAGGGCATCTTGAGAGGGTTCTCAACCATTCTGCTCTTCCTGCCAGACCCGACTTAGGGATAAGTGGACTTAAGGCTATGAGTGCCCTGAGCTCCCCAGGCTGAGGCATCCAGACCCCAACTGCATCTGTCACTCAGGGACCATGGCCTCCTATAGACCCTGCCCTTGTGCAGTTCTGTTGTGCAGTATGTTCTGGGGCTCAGGCAAAGAGCCTACCCACCCTGGTCCAAGTCAGGGTACACTCCTGGGACACAACTGTGCACAGCCACCCCTCCTACTGAAACTTAGGACGTCACAGAAGAACACTGGCAGCCTGGGCTTCTCCAACGTGGTGTGGACCATGGCCAACATAAGAGCCAGGCCCAAGGAAGGGCCAAGGTCTTCCCAGTAGGTGAAATGCCCATCCCACTCACAGCCTCCTTTGTTTCCCAAAGCTCTGCTGGCTGTAGCTGCAGGGACGGGAGCCTGAGAGACAGAGTTGTTCCTGGCTCCAAGCCCTCACCCAGGGCCTCCCTGCCGTGCTTGAAGAACTGAGTGGACTTTACCTACTGAACACACAAGCTGGGAAAAATCAAAGCTGAACCCACACATGCCCTGTGCCTCAGCATTCCATTCCTAGGTCCACATCTAACAGAAACCCACACATATGTGCACCTAAAGACCTGGACAAGGATGTTCACAGCAGCACCCATGCTAGCCAGAAATAGAAAGAACTAAACTGCCCAGCATGCATGATGATTAAATACTTCTATACCATGGAAATGGTAAAGCAATAAGAAAGAACAAACCAGTACAACCTGGAACAACATGGATGACTCTCAGAAATGCTGTGGTTAGGGAAAGGAGGCAAACACGATGACTGTTTCCACAAACTACTCTGAGAGCAGAAGCAGATGAGTGTGACTGGAAGGAAGCTCAAGGAGGGAGTGGGCGGTGTTCACCTGTGAAAACCCCTCCAGCTGTGTTTATGACCTTCTGAACAGATTGGATTGAACCACACACAACTGCCATTTTCCTAAGTTCAAAAAAGTCCAATATCAGTATTTCATATGGTTCAACCTAATACTCTTCAACAGAAAGTTTCAACAAACAAAACCCCAAACGACGCTGCCAAGTGGAAACCTGGTCTCCCGAGGGTGGCAGCCCCACGCCCCACCCAGCGCCTCAGTGCCCGAGAACATCACACTGCCCAGATGGGGCTGTCCTTCCTCAGCTCCTCTTCACCCTCAGCTAACTTGGCTCCCAGCAGTGTCCGTTTAGGCTCATTCCATACACATCCTCTGTCTCCTCCACAGGCCCATTCGGTCGACTCCTCCTAACCACCCTTCCTCAGTTCCATGCCTTCTGTAAGATGCTCTTGAACCCCTTCTTCTCACCTTCCTAGTGATTGCTCTGGGCTGGACCTGCTCAGCCACGGAGCCCCAAACCACAGTTGGCGCGTCTGGCCTGATCAGACCCACATCTAATCCGAGTGTCCCCCAAGTAGACACTGCCTGCAAGACACAGGCCTTCCAATGCTCACCCAGCCTCATACTCGGTCTGGTCTCCCAGATGCTACTGGTCGTTCCTGTGGCTCTCGCTCCTCTCTCTCTGTGAAGTCTGCCATGCTGACTCTGGCTCCAGCCAATCTTGCCTCTGCAGCATTGGGCTTCTGGGGACCATCACCTATTGTTTCTCCCTTCCTACCCCAGAAGATGCGTTTTAACTGCATGACGCCCTTTCTTTCCTTTCTTTCCGTCTCCCTCCTTCCTCCTTAGCCGGGAACCTCACCTCTACAACGACCCCGCCTTCTGCCTCTGTCTGCAGATTCACTCGTTAATCCCACCTGAGGAAGCCCTTGCCCTCTGACCTCTGTCCTGCTGCTCCTCCAGTTTTTATTGCTCGGCTTCTAAAAGGATGTTTAAATATTTAGGGCCTCCATCTCCTCAGCCGCCGCCTAAGCTACCTGCGCTTCCATGTCCACTATTCTACCCCGTTCTACTCCAACTCCTGAGTTGACCACGAGCTTCTCTGGTGTCATGGTCAATGCTGATTCCTTGACCTCTGCAGCAGCAAATAGAGATGGCCATGCCTTAACGCGTCTCCTTCCTCCCTCCTGGAGGCTCCGCAGCCGAGGCCTCTTATTCTGTCCCTCAGTGTGCTCCCATAAGGGATGTGACCCACTTTGGTGGTGCTGCTCCTCACCAGCAGGTGGAAGATTCCTATTTCTACGTTTCCAGCCCTGACTGTTCTGCTGAGTTCAAGTAATTCATCTTCTCTTACCAGTCACTGCCCCAGACGTCCTGATTCTGTCAACGGCACTATCATTCTCTGTCTCTTGGGTTGGAAGTCAGCCTTGGTCTTCCCGTCCCTCTTTCCCACTGACACCTCATTGTTTGAGCCACTGTCGGCTCTTTGTTGGACCAAAAGTCTCCTTGCTGGTCTCCACCTGCGGCCTCTCCCTTCGATCGGTTGAATGCCATCTCCAGATCGGCCTTCCTAAGCCTGCATGGTCAAGATGTTGCTTTCCATCACCACCAGGACAAATGCTTGACTCCTCAGGCAGATGCTCAAACGGTTACCACTGGAGCCTTGCCGACCTCTCAGTCTCATTTCAACTCCACAACTGTCCTCAGTCAAGTACTTGATCTTCTCCAACATGTCTCCTCAGTCTTTTCCATCTCGGGGAATCCCACCCCATCTAGAGGCTCAGCAGAACCGGGGCTCCGTCCTTCACTTCTCCCCTTTCTCTCACAGCCCCCTTGGTTGACAGATTACTGATCTCATCAAGTCTTTCTCCAAAATGGATTTGGAATCTCTCTGTCTCTGCACCTTGCCCTCTCTCAGCCCTGAGAACATTTCTATCTCATCTCCTTTTGCCTACCCTCACCCCCTCCAACTCCCTCACATGTCAGCCATAGCTGTTTTTCTAAAATGTAAGCTGAATTCCACCATCCATCCCCTTAAAAAACTACCAATGACTCCCTGTTGCTCTCAGAGGGGGCCCCAAATAGTAAGGTCCCAGCTCACCCATCCAGCTCAGGCCACTCACCTCTAGCTCACCTGTCTGGCGTGTCACCTTCCTCTACTTTCTCAAATGCCTTCTGCTCCTTCCAGCAGTGGGGACTTCAACAGTTTTGTTCCTTTGCCTGGAATGCTATTTCCTGCAGCTTTATCTGGCTAGCTCCTACTCAGCCTTTGGGTCACAGCGTTTGTTCTTCATAAAGGCCTAGCATGTACTTGTCTATTGTCTGCCTGACTTAAGCTGCACAAGAGCAGTCTGTTCTTTTGATTCAAAACGATGTAACCAGCATCTGGCATGGGGCCTGGATCACACTCCATGTTTACAGATGAATAACACACAGCCCCCACCCTCAAGGAGTTTACTGATGGGCAAGGAGACAGACAAACATATAACTAATCATAAGATGTGGAAGAAATGCCAATCCAGACACACGGGAGAAAGGTGACCGTGACTTTAGGAACTTAAAGCAGGGATAAGAAAGAGCTTTCTAAGGCCGGGTGTGGTGGCTCATGCCTGTAGTCCCAGCTATTTGGGAGCTGAGGCAGGAGGATCACTTGAGACCAGGAGTATGAGACTGCAGAGAGCTATGACTGCACCACTGCACTGCAGCCTAGGCATCAGAGCAACTCTGTCTCAAAAAGAAAAAAAAATGAACCAACAGAACTTGCTCAGAAAAAAAGGAGATAAGCGAGGAGGAAGATTCCAGAAAAACAAACTAATGTAAGCTCTCAACGACCAGGTCTACCGGGCCCAAAGTTCTCTGTCAGAACAGTAAGTCTTTGAAGACTTGTAAGGGGCAGAAAAACAGTCAGAGTAATGTGATGAAAACCTTGGCTGCTGTGTGCAGGCTGGACTGTGCACGTCTGGCCTCTAGACCTTCGTTCTCAGTATTCCTGGGTGAAACGGCCTGCCCGCCCCCACCTCTCTGCTTTACCAGGGCTCATTCCAAGCCCCATCATGTCACCCCCCCCCATGGTGCTGGCTAAGGAGTTGCTTGGGTGCAGAGCCCATAGTGCCAGGAGGACGACTCTCCTGTACTGTAGGTCTTTCCCCCCTTCCCAGGCTGAGGGTGCAGCCTGCATCTGATGATTCTTTTACCCCCTACAGCCTCTCCCTAACACAAAGCTTCAAGTGTGAAAGGTGTGCAATAAATGCTTTGTACAAAAATAGCATTGCTTGCAGAGTGCTTAGGAATAGCTTTATATCAAGTCCGGCTCTTATAAACAGGTAACACCTGTCCTGTGACATCTGTGATAAGTGGAAGGCCTCCTACCTGCCCAACTCTCCCAGTGCCATCTTCATGTCATTTTAGTGCCTGTGCAGTAGGAAACTGAAGACTTCCAGTGGAGGCACCTGGAGCCAGCAGGGAAGCTGCCCTCCTATCTGCCCTAAGACAGCAATGAAGGCAGTGGATTTGCCAAATAATGGAGCGAGGAAGATGGGAGAGAGTACCTGTCTGCAAAGCAGACGAGCTGACAGGCACTGGCTTTGAGCTCATCTCTGCCCATAAAGGACAGACAGGTCAGGCATAACAGACCAAGGTCCCTGACCCTGATTACTGGGGCAGTTTGAAAAGCTGAATTCCAGGTGGTAAACTGTCGGGGATTAAGCAGGCAAAGGAGAACAAGAGGCCCTGTGCCAAGTGAAATGAGCACTGAGAAGTGAGCCCTGGAGTTGGCTTGTCCAGAATGCAGCTCAAGGCAAATCTGACCCTTAGTCTTCATCAGGCAAGGGAACAAAATGCTTTGTGAGGAGCAACACAGGATGGACTAGTGATGGTGGCCTTTCACAGAGAGGATGCACAGACCCAGATGCACCAGTCTCCAGCTCCCTTACCTGCTCGGGAGGTTGGCTTCAGCTCCAGGCTTTCCTGATCAGTGGCATCCAGAATCTTGTACTTACTTTTCCTCTTGGGTTTTCCTTTTTGCCTAAAAAAAAAAAAAAAAAAGCCTCAGGGGAGGGGTACCGAGTGAGGCACAGGATGAAAGGCAGACATGCATGCAGGCCCTGTCCAGAGGGGATCGCCTCCTACAAGGGGCATCTCTCCTCACTTCTTAACCAGGGAAGGTGGCAACTGTGATTTGTTCTTCAAATGTTCCTCACCAATTCTGGGGCAAGACAAGAGAGCTTTGACCATCTTGGCCTGGACTTGCCACCCCACACAGACAATGAAGGATAGACTGGTTAAAAGTATAAAGAAAACAAGCTGGACTCGGTGGCTCAGCCTATAATCCCGTGCCTTTGGGAGGCTGAGGTGAGTGGATTGCCTGAGCCCACAGGTTCGAGACCCACCTGGGCAACTTGGCGAGACCTCATCTCTACAATAAATCAAAAAAAATCAGCCGGGCATGGTAGCGTGCGCCTGTAGTTCCAGCTACTTGGAAGGCTGAGGTGGAAGGATCACCAGAGCCCAGCAGGTCGAGGCTGCGGTGGCCGGGAGTGGCCACTGCACTCCAATCTGGGTGACAGAGTGAGACTCCAACTCAAAAAAAAAAAAAAGAAAAGAAAAGAAAACAAAGTCCTCTGCTGGAGGGCCATGGAAGGTGAGAAGTATTACACCAACGAAGTCGTTAATGGCAGGTATCTTAGACTGGTGGAACTTTATAAAAATTCTTTTATTTTCTAAATTTTATATGAGATTATATTGCAGGTTGAATCCTTGCTCTGTCACTTAATAACTGTGTTCTCAGACAGGTGATGTAATTTTCCTGAGCCTAAGTCTTCTTATCTGTAAGATGGGAAAAGGTTATGTGTTTTAAAAAGATATTTATTACCTATGGAATGCTATCATTGCACACAGTAAATACAGAAACCATACTTATAGCTAATGAAAAACATATAATAATGTGACCATTAAATATTAGAAGCCTAGATAGGAAGACTCAACTGAAAAGTCCAGAACACTCACACCTCTAATTGTGTGAAAACATGCGTACACATCAATCCTAACCAGACACAAAGGCACAATGAAGAACTCCCATGTCATGGTGGGGAGGCTGAGGTGTAGAGCCTTAAAGGACACACACCTTAGAGATGTGATCCAGGTCTGCACTCAGGCCCTCCTACCCACTTCCTCACCCTGTCCCATCCCCACCCTGGCCATGCTTCTCAGCTTCCAAATCACTACGGTAACGGCCACTTGACTAAAGAACTGTGCTTTTGCCCCGGGGGTGAGAAAAGCCCTTCTGCACATGCCTGGGAGGGCTTCCATTGGGCGAGACCACTCTAACAGTGACTAGGGACCCAGCCCAATCTTTCCATCGGTCTTGAACTCCTGGCCCTAGCAATCCTCCCATCTTGGCCTCCCAAAGAGTTGGGATTACAGGCATGTACCACCACACCCCACCCAGCCAGTACTTCTAATTGGAAGGTGCTAGATAATCTCTGAGGAACAAATATGTGACAAGAAGCTAAAAGAATTTTAAAGGAGAATCTATCTTACCTCTTACAACAGCAGATCACAGTCCAGGACAGAAGCCCCAAAGCAACAACAATGACAAAGGTAGCAATAATAACATACAACACGCTCCACTCTGCCAAGAAAATAAAAATGGTGAGGGCTGTGAAGAAAGAGGCTGGAAAGGAGGTCTGGGCTACCCCAGCTTGCGCAGGCAGTGGCTTCAATCTGGAGACAAGAATGCACCCAGGGTTCCCCAAGGTGAGACCTCGGGGTTAAGGGCAGTCAGAGCTTTAGATCTTTTTAAATGTCCCTGTTTTCCAGTCACTGCCCCAGGAGTGGTGCAGGCTGAAAAGAGCTTTAAGAGAGGGAAAAGAGGGCTTCCATTGGCTACAGCAGGGAGGTACTCCAAAAGACGGGAGGCCTTGGTGGGATTTAGACTGCAATTAGCAGCTGGTCTGATTTAAGCCTGGTTCTTACAGGTCTGCTTCAGAGCTTTCCTCTAACCTTGAGCAAGTGTGGAGGAAGGAAGTAAAAGTCCTCTGCAAACAGAAAATACACAAAGTTCTTCTCTTTGCCTACTCATCTGCTGCAGAAACACCAACACCCACCCACTCAGCGCAGAACCACATTCAGTGCCAAACAGACTGGCACCATGCCACACAGAAAACTCACCACAGTTGCTGTCTCCATCCCTCAGCTGCACCTTGATGAAATTCTCCATCCAAAAGGGGTCACAGATACAGCGTTTGGTGAATGAATCACAGTGGCCATGGTCAGAGCAGTTCAGTTGACATGCTGAAGGTAGCAGGAAAGGAAAAAAGTCAATGGGAGTCAGAGTTAGGGACAACGACCAGCATCCAGGGCCCATGAGTATACTAAAGCACTCGTTGCTTAGTGTTCTGTGGGGAAATTTCCTGGATATCTGACCCAAGAGCTTTCACAGCTTGGGCACGCTGCCCACAATTATCACCACAGCTGGATAAAACTGGAGCACTTGGGAAGGCTGCTAGAAAGGCAGTTCCAGTCTGTCTTTATTTGTTGTTTCTCTGTATCAGCAACTTTTAATCTTTTATGTGCCACACTCCTCCTTCTCAGAATATAATTGCAAAAATAACATACATAAAAGTATTACAAAGGAAAGGAATTATATTGAACATGTTTTTAAAATATTTAAGAACATAAAATTTCAAAATAAATTGTCTTTATTAAAACATTAAGTGGGCTTAACAAACTGTTGCAATTTTGAAGCGGTTGTGAAGAGCTACGAGTGATTTCTATGGCCTCAGCCACAGGCTCTGTTAACAGTACTGTAGTGTGTTGCCCACCTTTGACAAATAGGAATTTCAGTCAGAGGTTCAAGCTCACGGCCCTCTAAATGCCATCTCAGGGGCCTGTGGCCCCAGGTTAAGAAGCCCTGGCCCCTCTGCTGAACAGGACTCTCATGATAACAGCAGTGGAGAAAAATGATTATCTCCTTGTTCCCAGAGAACAAGAGATGAAGGGCAGAGGGGACTGACAGGCAAGCTGCAGGCACTGGGTAGCCCTTGCTCCAGCTTCCCAGAATTACTCACTGACAGTGTTGACTTCCAGGGCTCCAAATATGAGAAAGTCGGCCTTTTGCTTCCGCAGCTCACTCTTGAGCATCGCTGCCACCTCTTGGCCTTTGAAGATCTGGCGAGGAGGCTCGTTTTGAACAAAAAATATCATCTTGGTGCTGCAGAGACATGCAACAGTATGAATGAGCTGAAGCTGTCCACAGAACAGCAGCAGCTACCATTTACTAAGTACCTTCTGTTTATACCAGACACTGTGCTATTATATGCATCCTGCCACTTCAAGCTAGTGAGAAAGGTGTTATCAGTGTTACCTCTACGTACAGAGGACAACACTGGGGCTCAGAGAGGTTAAGTAACTTGCCCAAGGTCACACAGTTGATTATGGCAGAGCCAGATCCCAACTCTGTTATGTTGGACTAATGTCTGACTACAAAGCCTGTTCTTTTCAAAACTCCCTAAGCTGCCCCAGCTAACAAGAGAACCCATTACAGGCCGCTAACTAGAGAATGGGGAGAATGGGGATTTGGTATGGCTACAGCCTGCTGCCAGCCTTTTTATAGCCAAGACAGTGGTGCTGTTGTGTTTGTGCCTGTGTTACTCATAAGACAAACCACAATGCCTTTTAAATGCAAATTGTTGGACAGCATCAAAGATTATCCAAAAGTCAAAACATAGCCAAAACAATTGTTATCAGCAAAAAGAAAAACCCTATACAATTGTATGACTGGCACAAAATTATATTACTCTAAGCCCAGAATCTCTTTGCTATCTGATTATCAGTTTAGGTCCAAGACAGACCATGCTTGAAGTCACATCTGGGAAGCACAAAATCTGTTCTCTATGCCTTAGCCTTAATTTTTGGTAGTGTGCCTCTTGAGCTCCATGTCAGTCTCCTAAGTAGAAACTTCTGAATCAGTGCGTCACACTGATTGGTAGGTGTGTTCAAGATACTGATCCTCGGCATATAGCATGGTTGGATGGGACTTGGGTATCCCACAGGCTTTGGACCATCTGCTTCTGGTACAATTAGTCTTGTCTGTTTCCCAAAGTGCCAGACAAATAGCATCACTTCCTATGTAAGGCAAGACATAAAAGTTTGGGAAGCATGCCACAGACTCCCTAAAAGCTCACTGCACTGAGGTTAACAACAGGGTATTATACAAGGGGGGAACCCTTGTATAAACAGAATTTGTTCATAAAAAATTATGTATTTATTCTTGCCTTGTAGTGCTGCTGCCATTTTTTGTTTCATCTCTTCCACACTGGCAAAACGTTTCCCTTTGAGGACTTTTCTTATCCGGGAAAACAAAAAATTGTCACTTGGGGGGTGAGATCAGGTGAATAGGGGTCATGCCGTTTTTGGTCAAAAACTGCTGAACAAGCCGGGCTCGGTGGCTCAGCCTGTAATCCCGCACCTTGGAAGGCTGAGGTGAGTGGATTGCCTGAGCCCGAGGGTTTGAGACCTGCCTGGGCAACTTGGCGAGACCTCATCTCTACAATAAATCAAAAAATCAGCCGGGCGTGGTAGCGCACGCCTGTAGTTCCAGCTACTCGGAAGGCTGAGGTGGAAGGATCGCTGGAGCCCAGCAGGTCGAGGCTGCGGTGGCCGGGAGCGGCCACTGCACTCCAGTCTGAGCGACTGAGTGAGATTCCAACTCAAAGCAAAAAACAAACAAACAAAAAACAAACAAAAAAAACTGCTGAACACTCAGCATGGTGTGGGCAGATGGATTGTCATGGTAGAAGAACCAGTCAACTGTATACCACAACTCAAGACATTCCTTCTGCAAATCATGATGCAACCTTCTCAAAACTTCCAGATAAAAACTTTGGTTGACTGTTTGATACAGAGGAACAACCTCTGGGTGTACTATAGGGACCCACCCTCTAAAAAATGATTCCGGGTTTTTTGGGGCCCCCCTTTGTAAATTCCAGAACCAAAAGACAAGCCTCTGCCATAAAAGATCTGTGTTCCATTTCCCATTATCTTCTCCTAGTTCCTTAATACATGCTTATAGTTTCAGTTTTTGTCCATATACCAATAACCCTCAAATCTTTATCTCCTGTCTCCAGTCTCTCCTGAGTTACCAATCTACATCTGCAAGTACCTAAAAAAAATCTACTCCAGATCAACAGATACCCCAGATCAACAGATGCCTGAAATCCAACATGCCCGAAAATAAACTCATAATAGTAACGATTAACTGAATACCATGTGTTAGGGACTACACAAACATTACCTTATTTAGTCCTCAATACCAATCCTATAAATAGGTACTAGTATTTTCACAGATAATAAAACAAGATCAGAGAGGTGAAGTAACTTCTCCACTGTTACAGAGCTAACACCAGTGGGGCAGGGCTCCAAAGCTGCGTCTGTCTAGTGTAAGGTCAATGCTCTTTCCCACTTAATATGCTACCTATTTTTATCTAATCACATGCTTCTCCTGAATTTCTCAACTAAGTTAATCCAGTCCAAGCCAGAAGCCCAGAGAAATTCAGACGCTGCTGTCTTTCTCATGACCCATTTGCAGTGATGGCAAATCTGAGCAAACCTGTCAAAAATACTCTTACCAGCACTCTTGCTGAAGCCTTTCTGCTGCTTCTACCTAGCCAATTCCCTCCAACTTGGATCAGTCCAAGCAGTCATTTTCCTTGTTCGTACTCCCAGGCTGCTAAGCATAGCTTTAAAAAAAAAGGCCAGGCTTAGTGGTTGATGCCTACAATCCCAGCACTTTCGGAGACTGAGGTGGGAGGATTGCCTAAATCCACGGTTTTGAGATCAGCCTTCCTACCACCTGGCAAATTGGCGAGACCTCATCTCTACAATAAATAAAAAAATTAGCTGAGTGTGGTGGCACATGCCTGTAGTTCCAGCTACTTGAAAGGTTGAGGTGGAAGGATCACCTGAGCCCAGCAAGTTGAGGCTGCGGTGACCATGAGTGTGTCAATGCACTCTAGACTGGGCAACAGAGTGAGACTCCAGCGTAAAAAAAAAAAAAAAAAAAAAAAAAAGTCCTAATTATGCTGTCTCTTGGCCTAGTAAACCCTGACGGTATATATTCTAGATTCACTTGGGGAGCTTTTCCATTTTAGGTGCCCAGGCCCCACTCCAGACAAAATGAATCATAATCTCTGGGGCTGAGGCTTGAGCAATGGTACATTTATACAAGCTCCAGGTAGGTCTATTATGTAGTTGAAGTTGGGAACCACTGCTCTCACCTCATGTCTCCAACCTGGCCAGTATTCCAGATCAACTCTACTTATTAGCCACCCACCACCTCCTTTTCTCTGCACCTTCCCCTTAGTCTATACAAATGCTTACATATTTCCTGTCTTTAAAATATGTTCTTTATGTCTTATTTCCTATATTATTTTCAGTATCAGCTTCCTCTAAGAAGTGTTATACTTACCATCTCTGTATCCTCAAATCATGAAATCAGTCCTCTGCCCCAACATCCAAGCAAAATGTTCTCACTATAGTTCTGGTGATCACAAACCCAAAGGCCTGTTTTGTGTTCTCACCATACTCCTGCCCCTGAAGCATCTGAACCCTTTGCAGTCCCCTACTACCAGATCACCCCTTAACTGCCAGCAGATCACTCCCACCTGGTTTCCCTCCCACTTCTCTGACTGTCGTTTCTTAGTTTTCTTTGCTACCTCGTCTTTCTACGCCTTCTCCTTAAATAATGGCATTCTCCATGGTTCTGTCCTCACCCCTCCTGACGCTCTCTCAGTGTAACTCACCCATCCTCGTGTCTTTGACTCCTGCCTATATGCCAGTAACTGCCTATCTCAGACTCTTCCTTCCACCTCAAGTTCCAGCCTTTGCTTGTGGCTGACGGACCATCTCCCTGTGTAGCCCATAAAACATGCCAAATTCAATAGTCAAAACTGGGTCCTGGATCACCTGAGACCAGATGGTTGAGTCTTCAGTGAGCCATAAGCTTGCCACTGTCCTCTAGCCTGGGTAACAGAGATCCTGACTTAAAAAACAAAACAAAACAAAAATAACCTGGTTTCTTCTGCCTTCCTAAACTCAGTTAAGGGCCTGAACCAGGCATCCAAACCAAAAGTCTCACATTTGATGCCTCGTTCACCTTCATTTCTAAAGAGCCACCAAATCCTGTGGATTTACCTCTGGGTTTAATTTCTTCTCCTCTTGTACCACTACCTTAATTCAGGTTTTATTACCTTTGTACTGGACTAGTCCAGAAACTTTCTGATTGCTCTCCCAGCCTTCAGTCTCTCCCTATTTTAGTCTAGCCTCCACACTAGTGATCTCCCTTAAAAAAAAAGACTTAACTGAAATTTTCCTGCTTCAAAAACAAACAAAAAAATTCATACACATAAAACAAACTGGCTTGGGTCCTCCTACCCTAACTATTAAAACTAAGCTCCTTGGCTTGCATATAACTGTTCTCAGTCCCCATAGTCAGTCTTGTCTTCAACCATGTCTGGGCACCATTAAGCTCCGAACCAAGTGACTTCTCTCAGAAGAAACTCTGTGCTTTTATACCACAGGGCCACTACTCGTACTGTTCCCCTGTTCTGAATTTCCTCCTAGTCCGCCTATGACTGGTCAGTGCAAGTTTTCCTTCTCCTAGAAAATCTTTGGGCTACCCCTACTCCAACTCCCCTGCAAGAATTAATGGTCCTTGCCTCAGTGTTTCCACAATGCACACATTGTGTCAAACCTACCCTGTACTGTGTTATATGTTTACTTAACTATCTCCCCTACGAAACTGTGGCTGTCAAAAATAATGGTCCTCCTCTGACTGTGTACCCTGGTGCCCTGCTGCAGCGTCTAGAAAAGAACATGTCCCCGGCACTAGGAGAGCTCCATTGAGGTCCACTGAAGAGAGCCCACCCTTCTCTACCTAGCCACACTGTTTCTCAGCTTATTTAAGAAGCCAAAGGATCCCTAGGCTTTCCTTTGCTCCCCCCATTCGTTGCCCGGCTACCTCTGCTCCGTGTACGGCTGAATCTTTTGCACAATGATGTCGGAATCCAGCACCCCCAGGAGGACCCCAATCTGGCGGATGAGCATCCCCTTCAGCCTCTCAGTTAGCTGACTCACGTTGACATCCAAGATCATCTCCACCAGGTTGTTTTTCCTGGGATCTGGAAAGCATGTGGATCAGTCATAGCTTTAGAAGTAGGAGAGTTAACATAGACCTGCCACTGTGCATTTGCTTTGGCAGAGGAGAGAAAGTAGTGAGAGCATTCGGATGTCCTTCAAATGGAAAGGGACAATAGTGAATTCCTGACAAGGCAATCTGGGGTTGGCCTGGAAAGCTTCTAAAGCACTCCTAGTCTGTATATCAACCTGAGAATTTCTACACATGTGCTGGGTATAAGCCTGAAGCAGTGAGGCAACGTGGAAGGAGGTTAATGGAGGGAGTAGGGGAAGAGAGAAACTCTTAAGCATTTGTTTGAAAAGCCTCTGCGCAACTGGCATTGCTGAGCAATCCAGGCCAAGTGGGGGTATCAAGCAATCTTTCCTGACTCACATCTAATTTTCAGTGACTCGCAGTATTCTGTCTACAACAATGAGATGAAAAAATGTCCAACTCAACAATCTTCTCAATAATGGAAACACATCTGTCCCTGCAGGTTTAAATACAGTAAACACAAAGAAATTCTAGGCAGCCAAGAAACAAGGATTTCCTTAAAGTTACAGCACAGCTGCACTACCTTTGCACAACTCTGAAACTGTAAGACTATCATGCTTTACTTTTGAATATGTCCTAAAGATTGTTCTACATTTGGAATTTCAAATTGATTGTTCAGAATGCCTTATTTACATACTTGAATGCACCACTTGCCTGATCTGATGTATAATTTACATAATTAGTAGACTATCTGTGATCTGACTTTAAACACAGAAGAGACTTTATAGTGTCTCAGCTGTTGCCCTTCCTCAAGGCAGAATGAGGACTGGAAGACCTCCCAAGATCCCTTTCTGTCTAAGTCATCCATACATGAGTGTGGCCTAGATAATAAAGAGCAACTTTAAAGTTAATACCTTCTCATCAAAAGCTCAGGAATTTATAAAGCTCTGCCCCATTTCCACACTACTTCCCTATCACCAAATTAACTTCAAAGCAAAACAAAAACATGGTTCTATTTAAAAATGAAATTTTATTTCTGCAAATCTGAAAACTGTAATGGACACTAGTTATGTTACCTTGCCTGGGTTGTCAGATAAAGCCTGACATTCAACTTATAAAAATAAATTGTTTTCTGCATCTGGGTGCTGATGAGACATCATGACTCAAGCTATTCCTGTGCTCAGATTCCCAAAGCACTCTGAGCCCTCTCTCATCACTCACGGGTAAAGGAGAAAGTACTAAGCTAGGGGCACAAAGGCCTGGCTCTGACACAACTTCTGTGTGACACTGAGCAAGCCCTGCCCTCTCTGAGTTTGTTTCTCCCTCTGAGATGAGTAGGGAGAGGTCTATATTCCTGCATGGGCAGGAGGGGTATTGTTGAAAGAGTTAGTATCTAAGGATTTTTTTAGCTTGGGGTTTCTAGATGTTTTTAAAAGCTGGACATACCATCTGGCTCTGTTCATACTGTGGGAAAGAGATCCCAGGATAGAGGCCCTGATTGGCTGACCCAGCAATTCCATACAGTCTCATCACCAAAAGAACTCACCAGGTTTCACCTCCACAGTGGTCCGGTCTGTGTCACTCTCACCCTTTGCATCAGTTACTTTCAGGTGGAATGTGTAGGTTCCCTCAACCAGGTTCGAAAGAAAGAGGATAGGATGATGGTCAGAGTGATTTAACACCTCCTATAGGGTTGAACAACATGGCTGTGTTGCAGAGCAAAACACCACTCCTTTCTTAGAGTCAGGGGCTGCTTCTGCCATCACTAACCCCCTCTAGACTGAACTATTTTCTTTTTTAAAGGTTGTTTTGTCTGATAGTAAGATCATGACTCCTACCTTTGGACTGGACTATTTTAACTTGGGACAGTTTCTGATCTATAAAATAACACTGCAGCCCACAAGGGCTGATTGGGGGGAGAAGCCCATCCTATGCCACACTAGTTTGCAGAATTACCCTGAGCAAGTCACTTACCCTCCCTGATTTCAGAGAACAATCCAGGTTTGATAAAAGGGGTCGCTGGTTAAAACAGATTCTGGGACGTTTGGCTCCTCCCCCATCCCCATCTCAGACCTATGTAGCTCTTCAGCCCCTGGCACACTTACCCCTGCTGCTGGGCTCCCCTCATCTCGAGTCCAGAGGTAGCTGACTATTCCCTTGTCATCTGAGGACTTGGAGCCATCCAGCTCTGCTGTGCTCGTGGGTAAGGTAATCATCACATTCCCAGTTATTTTGGCTATAGGTGGTTTGTTCATTTCTAGCCAAAGAGAAATCAATGAAATAACATGACATTCCAGACCAGAAGGAACGTTTTTTCATGATGTTTATGGGGGAAATCAAACATCAAGGGCATCTTAAATGAAAACCTGTTTCAAGTGTCTGTCCACGCCAGCAACCAAAGCACAGACTTAAAACTACCAGCACTGCAGTCCTGAAGCTAAATGCTCTCCTAGCACTGTACAACAGAGGGGGCTGGTGTGTTTTCCCTCCTGTATTCTCACAGCAGCCTTCCCAGAAGAAATTCATTGCTCTGCTTTGGAGATATGTGATGACTGGAAACAAAAGCCCAAAGCTTAGGAGTTTAAGTTTTATCCAGCTGACACCACAAATTCTCCTTTGAGATATCTTAAGATTTTACTCTCTGAATATTCTTTTTGATCCCTTCCTGGAGTTTTTCAAGAGAAAAAGGAAAGAGGCCTCTCTTTTTCTGAGCCCCACTTAAAGCTTTGTTTACTCAGATGTAGACTCAGTATTTACTCAGTTCAATATACTGTACCTGGAGGTCACTGCAAATCTGATGGTCTTTCCTACCATCACCTAGTGGCCCTCTCCCAAGGCCCTCACTGGTCACTGCCTGCAAACCAGAGCAGGGCCAGTAAACTCTTGCCTCCAGTTGGCTTCAGCTTGCAGGCTCATAGGACAGGGATAGGCAGCTGCAGTGCAGTACAGTCATTCTAAGATCTGACAGCAGGTGTCACTGTAGCTAGAGGGAGATTCACAGAAACCCCAGGTCTTGGCAGCACAGGGCAAAACAAAAATGCAAAGAAAATAAACCTTAATGCTTTCCCTATTCAGTTGTGAAAAAAAAGGAATGGAGGAAGGGAGGGAAGAAGGGAGAAAAGGGAGGAGGGTGGAGTAGGGGAAGTGAAAGGCAGAAGGAGGGAGGAAAGAGGGTGGAGAAGGGGAGAAGTGAGAGGCAGAAGGAGGGAGGGAAGTTAAAATTCACCTCACAGTCACTTTCAACCAAAGGTTGTTTTAGAAAAGAATATAACAGGAACCCTCACCCCAACCTTCTTCTCCACCTCATGTCTCTAATCAATTTCCGCAGCCAAACAAGACATGACAAATTCTTCAGTTATCTGACCCAAAGAGGCTACTGAACAAACGTGAGGCAGAGAGGTACCTTCTTTGACAATGACATTCACAGAGCTCTGGCTTTGCAGATTCCTCTCATCTTTGACAGTCAAGGTGAACACATAGGTCCCCACTTGCAGCCCAGTCACAGTGGCGACACTGCTGTTAGCATTCTCAAGCTGCACCCCATTGGGTCCCCTGGACAAAGAGAGAAACCAAAGGGTGGAGTTAAACCTGTCTGCTGCTCTCCTGCCCCTGACTCAGCAGGAGACAATTATTACCTTAGCTATAAGACATGAACTATTGTTTCCCAGACCTTGACAGGACACGTTTAAAAATATTCCATTTGCACAAAGTGTCATTTGGCCCCAAATACAGGTTACCTGCTGGTCAGAAAATTCAAACAGCTTTCAAATACATCTAGCCTTGTCCTTTATATAAGCTTCTGGGATACTTGAACTCTTTACTGTTCCGGTTTATAAAAGGAAGAAAGTTCTCTGAGCAGGTCTCTGATCAAAAGAATGACTTAAGAGTGATATTTCTGAAAAGCATTTCTGGCCCAGTAGTTGGTTCTGGCCCAGTAGTTGGTTCTGTCAAGGGCAGGAAATGGCCAGGGTTGCAGAGGAACTCTCAGGACAAAACCATCCTCTTAGCAGCTCTACAAGCCAAGTTCCCTCCAGCTCCTGGATAGGGGCCACAGAGCATCCAGGACATCACACATCCTTCCTTCTCCCCTTGTGGCTTCAGAGAGCCGTCTGCAGTGGCAAAGGAGCTCTGTGCCAACAGCCAGGCATGAGGCTGCACATGGGCAGAGAGCCCTCCTGTCCAAGGATCTAAATGCCCCAGGGCTTTCCTTAATACTGCAGGACAACCAGAGAAATCTGCAGATGTCCAGGATTTGCTTTGTTTTGCTTTTTAAGCTTATAACCTCTGACCCTGAAACAGATTCTCCTCCAAGAAGCTATGCTAAGCATTATCTCTGCTGTAAACACTAATAAAATTCAGCTAAAAGGTTTATCAGCCGTGTCTGCAATAACCAATTATAATTAAAACACCCTAGGCTGAGGAAGATTATGTTCTCCAAAAGACAGAAACAAGAGCTGAGGGAAATAATTTCTAGAATCCAGCTCAGCAATGATAAGTTAAGTAGTTCCTAGAGTCAAATTAGAGCACTTTTCCATCCATCTCTAATGCCTTAGTCAAAAAAACAAAACAAAAAACCCCTAGTCTGTACTATGGTTGCTACCTTTGAAAACCGAGAATGCTTTTAACTCTTTCTTGGAATTCCTTTGTTTCCTATGAGATCCTGCACATAATCTGAGTTCCATTTGTTATGGTTTAAAGGAGCTGAAGAAACGGTGAGAAACAGGAATGATTCAGTTAGGTAATTTCAGTTTAATTAGTATTATTTTGGTTATTGCCTTTAGCCTCTGGCTAACTTAATTGGTAAATGGTGTCTTCAAGGAAACAGTAACAGAGTAATGCTTTTATTTTATAGATGTATTTTCAATTCCTCTTAATAGCTGCTCTGCCCCATCCCCTGCCAGCCTTACCCAGTTAATTTTGAGCAACAGTATTTTTCTGCTCCATTACCCTTTCCGTCTTGCCTCTCAAGTGTAATTAAACTATGTATTTCAGTAGATGGATTGTACCTGCAAAAGCACCAGTATCACATGGTACTTCCTGGGGACTAGCTGATGGCAAGTGTTATTTTTTTCTTACAAAAATTATTATTATTATTATTTTGAGCCAGGGTCTCACTCTGTCATCCAGGCTGAAGTACAGTGGTATGATCACAGCTCACCATAGTCTCTACCTCCTGGGCTCAGGTGATCCTTTCTCCTCAGCCTCTTGAGTAGATGAAACTATAGGCATGTGCCACTATGCCTGGCTAATTTTTTTTTTATGTTTTTGTAGAGAAGAGGTCTTGTTATAGTGCCTAGGCTGCTCTCAAACTCCTGGGTTCAAGCAATCCTCTAGCCTCCACCTCCCAAATTGCTGGAATTACAGGTGTGAGCCACCACATCCAGCCACAAAAACTATTTATGATATTACTTTCTAGCGTTGAAGTTTGTAACTGCAAAATTTCTTTCTCAGTTGCCTCCCCTGGATGAGTCAATAAGAGCAAGCCAACTCTCAAAAGCAAATAAAACCTTTCTCTTCCAAGGTCTAGAGGCTTTGCATAATAAGAATTTGTGTCAATACTCACTGTGTTTTTTCCCAGAGATATGAGATAATTTTCTGATCATCTGAGCTTTTGCTTCCATCCAGGGTTGTGCTATCCACAGGAAGGGTCAATTCTTTATCTGGGCCTGCATCTGCCTGAGGAGGTTTGTTGTTTTCTAGAAGACAGAGATTTGGAGGTCAAAAGTAGCCAGTCCAGGTGGGAGGGAGAGGAAAGGAACCGATTGAGACATATGTTCTGGAAGTCATGAGAACTCTGCCTCTCAGCCCACAGCCCACAAATACTATGGGAGATCTGGTTACCACTGGGGAGCTCACAATGAAGAATATGAGACTGAGGCATATTAAGCAATTCTGAAAAAAACATAGTAGAACATAACAGTTATAATACTATACTAAACTTGAAATCCAAAGCTATAGGAGTTCAAATGGAAGACTGAGTGAAAAGATAAGGCATTCCTGAGGAAGTGGGTTTTAAGCAGGCTCTTAAAGAACATGGTGGGATTTGGGATAACACAGACTCTAATTCTTATGTCTACGTCCCCTGAAAGGTATATCAACCAGCCAAGGAAAGAGCATAAGCTGAGGCTGGGAAGTCCTCTTTATCTCTATGCAAAAGGCACAAAGGGGCAGGCCAAGAGAAGTCAGAAGACGCTCTGTGGATTGGTGTCTTCTACTGCTACCCTCATACAGTTTGGAATCCACTTCTCCTCTCCCCCGGGACAAAAGGGACCTGCCAGTGGAAGAGCCTGAACCACAAGACTTGAGCTTACCAGGCTGCACAATAACAGTCACTTGAGCAGTGGCCTGCTGTCCTATTGTGTCAGTCACTGTGAGTTGGTAAGTGTAGTCGCCTTCTTGCATCGCCGATAGCTGCAGGGTTGGTGTTCTAACACCCTACATATATAAATACAAGTGGAAAAGAGGAATCCAGAAGCACAACATCACACACTAAGTCCTGTTCTGGTTGAAACAATGTACCCAGTTTTATAAATGTAAGTTGGTACTGGACTATTACCTCTGGTTCAGCATAATTAGTGAATGTTGACTCAGACATTATGAGGCACCTTGTTAAAAGTTTCCCCCTTCAAGGGAACATGCCTCCTGACACAGCAGCAGTTTCAAATAAAGCCAGAACTCTCACAAGAGAGGGAGTATGGAGCAATGTGCAGAGATTACCAAGGTCAGTCTCTATGACTGATACCAGAAGGAACAACATAAGTATATAATAAACAACCTAGCTTTTAAAACACTCTTTAAAAAGATGCTCTTCCTACTGAGGCTACACAATGATCCTAATAAAGTTGTCTCAATAAAACATGGCAACTCAAGATGCTATGTAACACCATGTTGTCCCCTTACAGGTTTATACAGATTTTGCAACAACAGAAAAAACTAACACAGTAATTAAACTAAAGTCAGGTAAAATACGGGCTTTAAGTCATGCCTCAAATCTAGAAACAGAATCCTGAGTGTCAAAAGGAACATTTTAAATAATTTAGGGCAAACTTCCAATACAGAAACTTCCTGAAGAACAGTGGGCAAAAACTGGCAGCCTGCGGGCTGAATCCAGCTTGCAGACATTTTGCTTGGCCTGTAGTGTCTTAAAAGTTGGAAATGTTCACATAAAGGTCTTGATTTCTATCTCTTCTTGAAAAGCTGAACTATCAAGCAATGTTGGGACCATACTTTCACGTGGCAACAACCAGCTGGACCTGAAGAGCAGATGACCCTTTAGTCAGGGCTTAAATTCTACAGCTCAACACAGTCCCATCCAGTTTTATTTATTTAATCTAATCTAATCTCTTCTTAAATAGCTCCAGAGAAAAGATACCATCTAGTCTCAATCTAATTTGCTAAGATTTGAGTCCTTGTAGTATCAAAATCACTTGACTCTCTGAAGTCATTCAGAACAACCAATATTTCTCATCTAGCTTTTTCCTCTAATACTAAACATTTAAGATAAAAATTTTTGCTAACATGTTAATCAAAGTCCCCTAAAGCTTTCTGGATTTGTTTTTTGTTGGGGGTTTTAAAAAATGCAAATATTCTATGCACAAATATGACTTTGGTAATTAAAACGAGGCAGAAATAAACCTTGGATGGATGACCCAGTCCAGCAGCTCTGTTTCCCCTGAGCAAGAAAATACAAGAACTCTTCCTTCCTACCTGCATTTCCACCACTTTCCCTTTGCTGCTTGGGCTGAGTGACCACTCATAGCTGGTAATGCCATGATCATCGGTGCTCTGGTTCCCAAAGAGGGTGATGGAGTTTTGGGGCAGAGTTATCACTTGGTTGGGGCCTGCGTTGGCCACAGGGAGATAATCCACAGCTTTGTTCACAGTCAGGTTTGCAGTAGTGGAGTTGGTAGCTCCATCAGAGTCTACTACAGTTAAGCTATCGGGCAGAGAGAGGAATGCAATCAGGGATGAGCTTAAGGAAAGAGGAATAAACATTAAAGGACTAAACATTAAGGTTAAGTAATACCAACGTGGTAGTTACCTATTCTTACCTATTCCTATTGGAAAGGCAGAAACTAGAAGCTACCAGAAGCTAACATTGACTGAGGGTTTACTATGTGCTAAGCACTGTTCCACCACAGCTCTGTAACGTATTACCCTCATTTCACTCCTTACGTGTATGAGGAGACTGAGGCAAAGAGAGGTGAAGTAACTTGTCCAAGATCATACAGCTTGAAAGGAGTAGAGCCAGGTTCTGAATCCAGGCAATATGTCTCCATTGCCATTTTGCTCTGTTGCCTGCACACATCTGTGTGCTAAGACCTTTCTTTGTAAGCATTGTATGCTATGACCCTCACAACTACATGGAGAGACATCATCTACTCAACTTCACAGGAGCCTTAGAGAGGCTAAGTAACCTGCCCAAGGCTACACAGTGAGCTAAGGTGCAACCCAGGTCTCTGATTCCAAAGCTCAGAAACCAAGCCTTCAGAAGAGGTAAATCTTAAGTTAATTCCTGTGGAGTTTGAAGACACTACGCTAAATAGAGCAAGCTCTGTCTGCAGCAGGCTCCAGATATGTCCTCCCATCATTCCACTCCAGCTGCGTACATATCACAAGAATGGACATCCTGGGCAGACAGCCTCTGGGACGAACGAGGAGGGCTGGCTCCAGTGAGGCAGGATTTGAGATGAAAATGAAGTCTCCTACGCAACAGTCCCACAGTTTGTGCCAGTGAGAAATCGAAATGTTCATTTATAAAAGCAGGATTTTACCTAAATGATGCCTTCCAGCTGAACAGCCTAAAGCTTCTCATGTCACCTCAAAATGTGAGCATAAGCAAGCAAGGAGGTTTGGGATCCTTCCATTTTGCTGACAGAAAGAGGAAAAGCATGGAAAAGACATGTAGTTTATTTAAATCCCACCACCAGCCACAGACAGAGCCAGACATCTGTGGGGTTTTATTCCACAATCTCACCTTTTATCTATGGTCTGGAGGGGTTTTTGGCATTACAGCCTTTAGGGGAAAAAAAACACAAAAACTTCAGATATACCTACATGTACCATTTAGCAAATGTCTGAAAAAGAAACATTCACAGAAGTGTTGCCTCTTTTCTTAGTTTCCCTGTTGTTTTCATAGGTTTTGTTTGTTTGTTTGTTTAACATGTCTCCTATGTCAGAACAAAAGCACGTTACAGACAGATGGCAAAATGGCAGCTGCCCATTACTCTTTCACCTCAAACAGTCACTGGGTTGCCTGCAGAGATCTTGAAACCAAACAGCAGCTAACTAAATGATGGCTTCCAGCTGAACAGCCTAAAGCTTCCCATGCCACCTCAAAAGGCTGGAAAAAGAGGATACTGTCAAGTAAGAGTAGAAGAGAAGAAAAGATGAGTGAACCACAACCAGACTGGACCTTAATGCTCATCAAATCCAATCCCATATGTTGTAGATTAAAAAAAAATTGAGGGCTACAGAAAAAGAAACTCTCTCAATCCCATCCACCAAAAAACTGTAGACTAACTTGGATGGATTTAGTGTCTATCATACTCAGTAATCTATCACAGAAACAAAGAACTTGAGTACCACACGTTCTCACTTATAAGTGGATCTTGAACATTTATCATGATACTACAATAAAGGAATTGGCAGTAGTGGAACACTGCTAGGGAACAGGGAGGGGCACATAACACCAATAAGGGTGCCTGATCCCAAACTAGTGAAGTGAGGACCAATAGGAAGCCCAAACTTCACCTGTACAATGACCACTTACGTACCTAATCCTGAATTGTACCCCACATCTTTAAAGTAAAATTTTTAAAAAAACCTGTAGACTAACACTGTGGTTAAAAGCTCAGACTCTGGAGTCAGATTGTGTAACCTTGGGCAAGATACTTAACCTCTTTGTGCCAAAATGTCCTAATCTGTAAAATGAGAATAACCATAATACCTGTTATAAGAATTAAATGAAATACTGCGAAGAGCTCAGAAAAACACGAATCACATAGTAAATGTTCAAGAACTATCAGTTATTATTGTTATTATTTTCTTTTTTTTTTTTTAAGTTGGAGTCTCACTCTGCCACCCAGACTGGATTGCAGTGGCCGCTCCTGGCCACCACAGCCTTGACCTGCTGGGCTCCGGCGATCCTTCCACCTCAGCCTTCCAAGTAGCCAGAACTACAGGCGCGCGCTACCACGCCCAGCTAATTTTTTTTGGTTTATTGTAGAGATGAGGTCTCACCAAGTTGCCCAGGCGGGTCTCGAACCCGCGGGCTCAGGCAATCCACTCACCTCAGCCTTCCAAAGCGCAGGATTACAGGCTGAGCCACCGAACCTGGCTTGTTACCATTTTCAAAAAGAATCAACCTGGCCCAGGCTGAACTCTATAGATGGAAAAGTTCCTATATTTGAAATCTGAGTAAAAACCAACTCAAATTTCCATTTTGAGCTAGTGAGAAGGCACCAATCTTGTTGTACCAATGGCTACATTTAATTTACCTGAAACCTTGAATATATGGGAGTCCTACTAAGCCAGAACTTGATAATGATTTATGTGGTAGGTGTTGTGGTAGGATACTCATTTGTGTCCCTGGCAGCATCTAAAATTTGATTATCTTAGATTCATGGGAAGACAGACACATATGAATAAACTGTCACACTATGGAAGGTCACATAGAGGCCCTGAGTGCAATAGGGAAAGAAGAGAGTCTTTTTTTTTTTTTTTTTTTGAGTCAGAGTCTCACTCTGTCACTCAGGCTGGAGTGCAGTAACATGCTCATGGCCACCACAGCCTCGACCTGCTGGGCTCAGGCAATCCTTCCACCTCAGCCTTCCACGAAGCTGGAACTACAAGTGTGCACCACCATGCCTGGCTAATTTTTTGATTTACTGTAGAAACAAGGTCTCGCCAAGTTGCCCTGGCTAGTTTGGAACCCCTGGACTCAGGCAACCCTCTTGCCTCAGCCTCCCAAAGTGCTGGGATTACAGGCATGAGCCACTGTGCCTGGCAAGAAGAGAATCTTATCTCTCCTCTCTGAAGGGATCTCAGAGAACTTCATGGAAATTAAACAGGTAGTTAAGGATGGGCAGAACTTCAAGAGATTGAGAAAGGCATTCAAGGAAGTGTAAATAAAATATATACTGATCAAGTCAAGGAGTGAAGGAGACTAAGGCCTGACTTCAGGGTTAGAAAATCCAGCTGTGAGACCTCAGAGAAACCTCATTTTTCTTAGTTGTAAAATGAAAACAGTATCATCTATGTATGATGTTGGTAGGATACTCATCTAGAAGTACTTTGTAACTTACAAGGAATTATGGAAATATAAGGAAGATTATACAAAACTCCATCTCAAAGCCTTACTTTTTTTTTTTTTTTTTTTTGAGTTGGAGTCTCACTCTGTCGCCCAGACTGGAGTGCAGTGGCACGCTCCCGGCCACCACAGCCTCGACCTCCTGGGCTCCGGCGATCCTTCCGCCTCAGCCTTCCAAGTAGCTGGAACTACAGGTGCGTACTACCACGCCCAGCTAATTTGTTGATTTACTGTAGAGATGAGGTCTTGCCAAGTTGCCCAGGCGGGTCTCGAACCCACGGACTCAGGCAATCCACTCACCTCGGCCTCCCAAAGTGCTGGGATTACAGACTGACCCTGGCCTCAAAGCCTTATTAATCACATCCTAGAATGTCAACACTAGTACTTTCTTTGAATCAAATCCTCCAAACAAACCACTAGTCAAAGGTAAAGATTTTTTAGTTATCTTAAGTTGAGGAAGCATCTTCTAAAGAGAAGAGACAAAATGGAAGTAGGTTTCTTCTAGATTTTGCCTGAGAAAAGGGAAAGGAAGATAGGCCTTTTCACTTAATCACAGAAATCCCTCCACCAAAAAAAAAAAATTGGAGATCTGCCAGACAAGGCTTTGAGAAGAATTAACTATGGCAGATCTGATCTATGCAAAGACCTTTGCACTAAAAAGTTATCATTTTTGTGATCACAATCACAATAGGGCTCAAACAATCACTGGAACCAAAGGCTACATCATCAACCAACTCCACAGTGACTCTGGTATTTGTTAAAGCTACTTTTATAAGATTGTAAAAACCAAGAGAGGAAAAAAATGGCCTATGGTAAACTTGAAGTGAATCCTAATTTACCTGAAAGTGTAGTTCCCAGGGACGAGCTTACTTAGTTTTAATATGGCCGTATCTTCAGAAATCTTCTCTTCTCTCAGAGGCCCCTTAAGTTCCTCCCAATGGTACTGGACGATTTTATCATCATCAGTGCTTTCTTGACCATAAAGAAACATTAGTTATAACATGAGAACACTGTCTCAGCACTTATCCAATGTATACAAACCAGGGCAACTCCCCAAAAATCTGAAACTAAGAAAACTTCCAGAAACTGTACAGAGTGTTGCTTTCCTAGGACTATTGGGTCATTCTGCCTCTCTATGAATATTCCACTGCATCGTTTTCCAATGCTAACACAGACAACCTCTGTATGAAAAAAGGAAAATCAACAATTCTTAAACACATGAAAAAATACTCAACCTCACTTAGAAGAAATGCAAATAAAAATTAAAATGCAAATTAAAAATGAGATAACATTGTTTAACTTATTGGATTGGTAAAGATCAGCATTTAATTAACACATTATATGAGTAAAGGTGTGGAGAATAGGCCCTCTCATTAGTCATGATAAAACCAGAAATTGACATAACCTCTCTAATGAGTAATCTGGCAATATTTATCTTTATCCTTGCAATTTTTCTTTTATGATTTTATCCTGCAGATATACTTGCCCAGGTGTTAAGCATCATGTTTGCAAGATTATTCACAGTAACATTGTTTGTAATAGCAAAAGAAGGAAAGTAATCTAAATGGTCATCAATAGCAATTGATTGAAAACAAGTATGAATTCATACAATGAAATTATACATCCATACAATGGAATGCTATGCAGTTATTTATTTTTATTTTTATTTTTATTTTTTGAGTTGGAGTCTCACTCTGTCGCCCAGACTAGAGTGCAGTGGCCGCTCCTGGCCACCACAGCCTCGACCTGCTGGGCTCTGGCAATCCTTCTGCCTCAGCCTTCCAAGTAGCCGGAACTACAGGCATGCGCTACCGCGCCCGGCTGATTTTTTGATTTATTGTAGAGATGAGGTCTCGCTGCCCAGGCGGGTCTCGAACCCGCGGGCTCAGGCAATCCACTCACCTCAGCCTCCCAAAGGCGCGGGATTACAGGCTGAGCCACCAAGCCCGGCTTTTTTTTTCTTTTTTTAGAGACAGATTTTCACTCAGATGCCCAGGCTAGAGTGCAGTGGTACAATCATAGCTCACTGCAGCCTCAATTTCCTGGGCTCAAGGGATCCTCCTGCCTCACCTCCTGAGTAGCTGGGACTATAGGTATGTGCCACTGTACCTGGCTAATTTTTTAAGTTTTTTGTAGAGATAGGGTCTTGCTATGTTGCCCAGGCTGACCTTGAACTCCTGGCCTCAAGCAATCTCCCACCTCAGCTACAATCATTTGTGGTTTTTAAAAATAATCATTTTTTTTAAAAGAACGAATATGTAGTTTATGTACTGATTCAGAAAAATTCTCCAACGTACAGAAAAAAGCCTCATACATAACAGTATAATGTGCGTTTATTTATGTAAGCAAGGGAGATAAAGACCATATATGAATTTTCTAACAAATGTATAAAATATATCTGGAAGGATACACAAAACAAAATATCATTAGTGTTCTGGAGGAAAACTGAATAGTTGGAAGATAGGGATGGTATGATTCTTTTCACTATATACTTTTACATATTATTTAACTTTGACCTATTCAAAACTATAAAATAAAATTGTACTATGTGAAACCTTTCTTCCATTCTCTATCACAAGTGTTTATTCCTGTTCTTTCTCTTCCTCTTGGTCTGCTATTCTCCTAGCCTCCTCTTCTTACCTGAACCATTGATATGAAATGCTTCCCTTTGCTTAGAGAGTCCTGCCTGCCGAAAACCACTGTTGGTGCCAAGACAGTCAGGGTAACAGAGCTTTAATGGGTCTCAAAAAAGACCAAGCAAATACGAGTGAGAGGACAGGTCTGAAACCTGCATAACATAGCAATGATCAAGGGAAAAGACTCAGAAACTCTCTCATGTCACTTATCACTACTCTGAAGAGTAAAATGTTAATAACCCCAGGCAAGGGTATGGAGCATATTCTGTGTCTCCAGGAAGAAGTTGATAAGAATCTTGTTAGGCAGGCAGGGATGGCCGGGTAAGGGCTCCTCAGTCAGACTTTTCAGTTACTTATGGAAAAGAACTTTGCTTCCATAAACAAAAAAGGCAACTCTAAGCAAATCTGAAAACCAGCAAGTTTCAACTAAAATAATGCTAAATACATGCATAATTTCCACTTTATACCATCTCAGAGCAGAAATATTACTTCAAAGAAGCCGCATGGGGATTTTAAATAAGGTCCGTCTGGTTTGTTACTTCCTAATCATAATCAAGTTACTTCAGATGGTTGGTCTTCCCATAACATGGTCAAAATGACTGGCCTAAACAGAATGCAGACATAGCTGGCCCCAAATTTACCAGAGTATATAGTGAATGAATGCTCTTCTAAAATATCATGCTTAGACAAGTACTCACGGCTGCCATCAATGACTGTAGAAGTGGTTGGCAGAGAGATCTCCTGGAACTGAGGTGACACAATGGCAACAGGAGGCCGATTCTTACGGGGCTCTGCAAGAAAGTGACCCAGAAGAAATTAGGAGAGAGGCTTTATAAATGATAGGAAAAGCAGGCCATATCTGAGAGGATTATAAATCAGTTTCCATTACATAATTAAGGGCTGAACCATCACCAGACAGGAAAGTCACAAGACCAGACTGCCATTCTAACATAAGACATCTGGAAATGTAAAAGCCTTTTCTGAATGTAACCATTCCTAAAACCATGCCCTGTGCACTCTTTCAATGCTCATGTGCTATCTAGTTGATGCAAAGTACTACAGCAGCAAGTGACTGCTTTCAGGCAAGCCTGACTAGAGATGAACACCAAACAAGTTTTGGGCAATAAAGACCTTGGCAAGCAATCATTCCTTGGCACAGACTGCTGAAAAGATGATGCGCTATTTCTCAACCATCCCTGAGCTCACTGCATGTGGGGTGACCACGGCTGAGTGATGGGAAAGTCACAAACTAATCAAGTCCACCCAAATGATCGTGAGCTACAAACCCAGTGACCTTTTCTGTGAGAAATGATTAAATTAAATGGTCTTGATGGTGATCACATTTTTAAGAAAGCAAAAGAATTATCTTGGCTACAAAGTTCAGTAAATGAAAATCTATTACCAAGAAAGAGAGAAAACAGTACTAAGAATCTGTGCCAGTATATGTGCCACTCTCCAATTTCTCCCAAATTTCTCTGAAAATGAAAAATAAGACACCCTGCCACTGCACCATGATCTACCAACAGTGACTCATTTTTAAAAGAATGACAGGATTTTGTTTCCAAGGTGAAAGAGACTGGTAGTGTTTAAATGAGGAACTCTGTGTACAAAGGCCCACATCTCTGGAAAGGAATCAGAAAGAACCAGTCCCCTTGGCTCATTCTCCTTCTGCATGCTTCTCCTAGGCTCCTGGCTTCCCTGTGTCTGTTAATTACAACACATGGTCCCTTCTCAGCATGGTCCACTTAGAGAAGTAGTTCTCTGGTAGTAAGCTATTGTTCAGGCCATACTGCACTGTGGCCATGTGCCCAGTCCAGTGTTCCGAAGTCTGTCTGTACTTTGCTACTAACCTTTTACTACATTGAACTAGGAATTGCCCAAAAAACATACTACAAAAAAAGAATGGGAATCAAAATCTCCCAAGTCAGATCTCCCTTCTCCTCAGGAGTCCTGCAGAGGGAGCAATGGAGGCACAACCAGGGCTGGAAACACATACCTGGCTTGACTGTCACATTCACATAGCCTTCCCCATGAGCATTTTGACCCTCTACAATCACTTTGAATTCGTACAGGCCTGGAGTGAGCTGCAGAAGTGAGAGAAGATCTCTTAGACAACCACAAAGAGTACCAATTACATTTGAAACAACCTATATAGCTATGCTGAATCTTTCACTCTTTTCTTGCACTGTTTACAAAATGGAAAAAAAACACAACTAGTTGAAGAGATGAAACAATTAATTAAACTAAAAAAAAAAATAAGCCATAGTTTATAATGTGAATCTTATTACTATCTAACTCTAGAACAACAGAAGGGAATAATATCTCTGTACTCCCATTTTCTTTTCAGAAGAACATTAAGGCCCAACTATCCTACTTTACAGAGTTATGAAATTAAAATAATCATCTCTTCAAAGAAAAATATTTTGTGAACATACCAAATAGTTCCCAGATATCTGAATATTTTTCCCCTCCCGATTTTTACTAACTGTATAAACAATAAACAAAACAATAAAATCGTCCACCATCTCACTATCCTAACACATCAACTCATCACATTTCTCTATTTCCTTTCAATCCTTGACCACATACAAAAAAACAGTTTTATACAATTTGTTCATTCAATAAACATTTATTGACGCAAATCATGTACTAGTCATTGTCCTAGGCTTGGGGTTTGGTGACAAATAAGGTAAGATCTCTACCTTCAAAGAGCTCATATTCCAATAGTATTCAGGGCCTAGCTAAAAATCAAAGCATCAGACTTTATTGTTCTTTCTTCCCTTCATGTAGCATGAACATCTTACCCTTTAGGATACACTTTTTTTTTTGAGTCAGTGTCTCACTCTGTCACCCAGGCTAGAGTGCAGTGGCACACTCATGGCCACTGCAGCCTCAACCTGCTAGGCTCAGGCGATCCTTCCGCCTTAGCCTTCCAAGTAGCTGGAACCACAAGCGTGTGCCACCACACTTGGCTAATTTTTTGATTTATTGTAGAGATGAGGTCATGCCAAGTTGCCCAGGCTGGTCTTGAACCCATGGACTCAGGCAATCCTCTCACATCAGCCTCCCAAAGTGCTAGGATTATAGGTGTGAGTCACCGCGCCCGACCTAGGATATAGTCTTCATTTTAATGACTGTAGAATATATGACATAATTCACATAAACACTTCACATTGTTGATACTTGGGTTGTTTCCAAAATTTTACTATTATGACCAATATTATAATGAACATCTTCCAGGCAAATGGGTTCTCTCTTTTGAATTACTTCTTTGGGTAAATAATAATTGACCATAAGCAGCGTCTTTGGCTACTTTCTCCTTGTAACGCTTTCCTTCTTGGTTTTCACTTCTCTGCTCACACTTTCATTTCCTTCAGTTTCCTCTACCTTCCATCCCTTAAATGACAATGTTCCCCAGGATTCCAACTTCAGCCTTCTTATTTCCTTACTCTGTACATTTTCCCTGGTTGATCTTATCTATTACTGTGGCTCCAATAATCATCTGCTTGAGGTTGATGTGCAAATATATATTTCTAGCCCAGATTTGTCTCCTGATCTCTAGCTCCTTTCTCGCCGCTACTAACTGAACAACTCAACTCAAATGTCTCACAGGTACCTCAAACCTCCCCCAGACCTAAGCCAAAAAAGTCAGAGTTATCCTAGACTCCTCTTCTCCAACATCCCAACCCAGTTCATTGATCACCAAATGCTATCAAGTCAACCCCCATATTATTCCTCTAATTCACTCACTTGTCTCCCTAGTTTGTGTCTTATCTCATCTAATCTGCAGTCAGGGTGCTCTTTCTAAACTGAAGATCTGAACATGTTTTCACTTGCTTAAAATTTTTCAAGGCTCCCTATTCCCTCTGGATAAGATTCAAAATTCTTAATCAAGCATATAAGGCTCTGCTTGATCTGGCCCCTGCATCTTTTCAATTTACTTGTGCCACTGCTCTTCTCATACCTTAGGGTCCAGTCAGACTGAGCAACATATAATTCCCTTTTCCCACCATTTTCTCTCATTTTCTCTCATGTTGCTTCTTCTGCTTGGGGTATTATTCCCTCCACCCTTTACCCAGGAAATCAGTTACTTTCAAGACTCAACTAGGCAAACTAAGAAATCTACAATAATTCCCCAGGGTTTCAATGACCCTGCTGTACTGACTAGTGTGTCACCTGCTATAATTATCTGCTTCCTGTCAGTATCACCTGCTAAACTCTATTGTCCTTGAAAATTAAGATTATGACTAATTCACTGGTAAATCTCTAATGCCTGCCACATAACCAGTGTGCAATGAATAGTTGTTGAATATATGAACAAATGAGATTGCTGGGTCAGAGAACACAAACATTTTTTTTTTTTTTGAGTTGGAGTCTCACTCTGTCGCCCAGACTGGAGGGCAGTGGCCACTCCCGGCCACCGCAGCCTCGACCTGCTGGGCTCCAGAAATCCTTCCGCCTCAGCCTTCCAAGTAGCTGGA